CTGAAGAAAAGCAGCCCCAAAGCATAATGCTGCCATGACTATGCTTCACTGTAAGCATGGTCTACTTTTGAGTGGTGGTGTTTTTGCATCAAAAATAACTTTTGGAATTAGACTTTTTAATTTCCACTATATTTGCTTTGAGATTTAGGAACAGTTGTCAATAAATGCCAGCAAATTACTTCAATGATTTATATGATTTATATAGATGTTTTCTAATATTTCTTTTAACTATTAAATTGAGCTTGTTGAATTATAATAAATAGTTCTGGTCATTGGAACTCTATATCTTGTCCACTCTCATTTATTTAGAATTTATTTATCATAAATGGTAATGAGTCTCCAAGACTAGCTCTATTGCAGCTGTACTTCATGAGTTTCTCTACAATAATTTGTACTCAATACTTTCAGAATCTGTGAATTGATTGGTGTTTATGATGAAGGAAATTTTAGCTTCAAAAATGCCTGGACGTACCTGGTATTTATCAACAATATATCCCAGCTTGTAAGTAATGAAACTGATACTATATTTACAGTAAGATTAAATAATGATTTTGCCTTTTATTTTAAATTGAGATTCTTGATAAGAAAATTACCTGAAAAATGCAAAAAAGTATTATGTATTTTCTTAACAGTTAAATCTAGAAAAAGATCTATGATGCCATATTTAATTTCATGGTATTAAATGTTGGTGGAATTGTGAGAGATTTATTAAAGGAGATCAACAGCAATAATATTTGATCATTTTTAGTTATATTACATTGTTGTGTGTAGAATAGCATTTAGTCATCTTTATTCCGCTTGAACATTTCATACAGCATATATATTTATAGAAGAATTAGATTAGTTTATCTAGAATGAATGTTATGATACATGTTTGAAGTTCTCTGTTGAAAAAGAAATATAAAGTTTTAAAATAATATTTCAAGCAAGAATAAGGTAGCGGTCCTTCTCTTGATATGCCACAGTATATAGATACAATATGTTGTCCTCATAAATCCTGAAATGTTATGATATAAAGAATAAAACAGTCCAAATGTTGAAATAAGCATTGTTATAATAAGCAGATAAGCATTGTTACCCCTCTGTTTTAGTTTGCCATGTATTGCCTTGTGTTATTTTATAAAGTACTGCGGGAAGAACTGAACCCAATCAGACCTGTAGGAAAATTTCTCTGTGTGAAGATGGTGGTTTTTGTTTCCTTCTGGTAAGTGAAATAAGTTAAAATCTTTAACCAAACAAGATTTTTTTTGTAAAGTCTATTATATAAATTAAACTATAAGTAGATACCTAACTTATTGGCGGTACAGCTAGGGTCAAAAATACTAATAATACCACTCCATTTTTTTTTGTCAAAGAATGCCAATTTATTGTGAGATAAACTGAAACTGACATAAGTAAATACCATTTATTTATGTCAGCTTCATATTATCTCACAGTACATTTCAGTTTCAACTTATATAATTTAAATTTGTAGTTCTTTGAGAAAATGTGGAGCAGTATAACACTTTATAATACATCTGTAAGTAGTTTTTTTCCACAATTTTGCTTAGAAATGTGTTTGTATTGGAATTATTTTAAAAGACAAAAAATTCAGTGTGAAGATTTTGATTTCATGCTGAAATTATGTTAATATGCAAGCTCCACAGTTTTTGAGCAATGTGTAATTAAGCTTAATACATTTAAAAAAAAATATTTTGGTCAATGCACATTCTCTATATCTATTTGGACCAAATGATTACAAATCCTAGTTCTTTTTTTTCACTGCTGGTTTATGATTATAGTCTTTCAAACTTTATTATATGTATTCATATTTTCATTTGAAAATATATGTACTGTGTCATGTCCTAATTTATTTATATAGGCCATATAATTGTACAAGCAGTATACCGTGATCGGGCAAGTTTCTGGGGAGGGAAATAAGGAAAAAAAATTGTGCCTCAGCCTACCAGCATCCATTGATATTCATCGGGCTAGTGTCCTGTCAGTGTGTGAGAGAGTTCAGGGCTGTTTGGAAAGTGAAACAATATTTGCTGTGAGCAAGGAGACAGCAAGGAGCCTGGCCTGGCTTAGCTCAACTGTTCTGTAGTAAAGCTGCTTGATGCTGTGAAAGTAAAACTGAAAGTGAAACCCCTCTCCCCTGCTTGTGTTTTGTATTTGGAAGTTTTCTTTTCAGGTGGGGAGGGGGAGGGAGTAGAACTCCTTAGCATCAGAGTGTGTTAATAATATATGAAATGCTAATGCTCTGATGGTCATGTCAAAAAACCCTTTCTTAGTGAGCACCTAGAAGCCAAGAGGAACATACATGCCAAATTTCAAGTTTGTGGGCTTTACGGTTCTGGAAATTTTGTGATGATGCATGAGTAGTATTTCGCTTTTATATATATAGTATTTCGCTTTTATATATATAGATATGATATGATAACTTCATCTTTTTAAAACAGGCAAGCTGCACTTATTGCAATATTGGTGAAAGTTGGTGTTATCTCTGAAAAGCACACATGGGAATGGCAGAGTGTTGAAGCTGTAGCAACTGGTCTGCAGGTAAGTTAAAACAGCTTTTTAATGATCAATTTTTGTTCACTTATGCTGCATAAGCTCTCCTACATAACAGCTTGGCACAAGGATGTAAATTTCTTGAAATTTACAGTTATGGTCTGCTATTTCATTGATAAGGTGCTTATTAGGTGCATCTTTATGATATAAATATTTTCAATTCTTCAATTCTTTTTAATAGCAATATATTCAATCCTTTTATTTATCCCAATAAAGTAGAAGTTTCTAAATTTTCTTGGTTCATGGCAGTTACTATTTTTTTTCAGTTTCCTTAGATAAATCTGATCTTTTTTGAGCTGGTATGGTGCCCAGTATTGCTATGTATCCCTCAAAAATTTTAAAATATGCCTCAGCATTCCTGTGAGTTTACAGCAGTATCCCAAGATGCTTTAATAATGACAAACCTGGTCATGTAATGTTTCCTATTGGTCAGTAGTTAATATAACATCTGCAGCTGATTGATATTAGTGTATGGGAAAGACAATTTTATAAGTATATGAGTCATAAACCATGCAGCTTTTATGGATTAATGTGGACATCTTAAACTCGGCCTGGCAGATGATACAGTATTATTTGTTTCCATGCATATATTAATTCAACAGTCAGACTAGTTGTATTCTGCAATGAATGAAACTTCTGGTCTATGTTCAAGATAATCCCATGTACAGATTGTAGCATCACAATTTGCAGTATTTATTGGGTGTTACATTATTGCCCATGGGATGGCATATCCAAAATCAAGAACTGATGGCTTCTCAGCTCTGAGAGTAGGAACAGGTTTATAGCTCTAAAGGGAGAACTGGACATTGGATTCTCCACTTCCTGAGTTCTTTATGAGGTTAGAATTTTGGTTAGAAAGTCCCTTAAGAAATAATAGTGTCAGGATTATGGTTGATCATGACCTCATACCATTGCTAGTCCTTAAAAGTTTTTTCAACTGATTATAATTGTGAAAAGCGTGCCAGTCTAAAAATATTTTACATTATAATGGTCATTAAAATAGAAATTCCTACAATTTGAAGTTGCTTAATTATGGAGTGAATAGGAATACAATTATTTTTTCTTTTCTTAGGATTTTATCATCTGTGTTGAAATGTTCTTTGCTGCAATTGCTCATCATTACAGTTTTACCTACAAGCCTTATGTGCAAGAAGCTGAAGAAGGATCATGCTTTGATTCATTTCTTGCAATGTGGGATATTTCAGACCTTAGAGCAGATGTAACAGAACAAGTTCGCAATGTTGGTAAGCAAGAAATGAAAATATATCTTTAGCAAATAAATGTTAAATATAACTACTTTAGCTGTTCAGTTAATATTTTAAATTTAATTAATGGCAGTGTTTAATATTTCTTGTCTTTAGGAAGGACAGTATTTGGTCAGCCAAGGAAAATGTTTTTTGGTGAGGATCAGGAACAAAATGAACATACAAGTTTGTTGTCAACATCCAGCCAAGACCCAATTTCTGCTGCTGCTTCAGTACCATCATCACCTGTGGGTCACTACCAAGGATTTGGACATACTACGACTCCAACAATGCCTTCTGACCCTATAGCTGCTAATTTGTGTAATTCTGTAGAAGAGAACGAAGATTTTTCTGTTCAACCAAATAAGCGTATAGATAAAATTTAAAACTCTGCTCAAATATCGTAGGGGCCTTTCTTAGACATTACTTACTATCTGCTACTCTTATATTTTCTCCAGTAGTTAATTATTGAAGAAATACTAAAATAAGACAGGTGGTTGGGCTTTACTTTTACATTCTCAACTAAAGTGAAAGAAATATGCATTTGTTATTTGATGAACCATGCATAAGGAACATAGTTTTTGTGCTATAATATAGTACATAAATATTGAATTAAAGTAAAAACAAAATAATATGGAACACATATATGATTGAAAACAACTCATTGGCATAGAATTCTTACAGTAAATGAGAATACATGTTGAGATTTGAGATGGGTTTTAAATAGGATTCAAATTCTGATTTTTCTCACCCCCTACTAGTTAACTTAAATATACAAGAATCTTTACAGAGTTAATATTTAAAGAATTTACTAGACTAGTGTCTTGAAATTGTTCTTTTTTAAAAAGGCGTGATCAGCGTATTAATAAAGTAAAGCTAATTTGTTTGGGTTGGCCTTGTAGATTGAATAATTTAACATAGTGTTTTCAAGCTTAGCAACTTTAAGATTGTTGACTTCTACTCTCATAATTCAGCTGGGGAATTATGGGAATTGAAGTCCATACTTAAAAGTTTCCAAGCTTGAAAAACATTGATCTAAAATCTTTATTAAGATTGTATTAAGTGTATGTTATACACTACTGAATGAGTTTAAAAACATTCTAATTAGCACTATCAAGTGGAAGATATTTGTCTAGACAGAAACAAATAATTATACAGTTGTAAAATACATGGATGTAATAAATCAGTATGGCTTTAAGTTTTCTCACAATCTTTTTTTAATCATGTTTATACATGTTTTGCATGCTTGCTATGTTACACATAAAAATTTGCACCAAGAATTGTATTTTTGAAATAGCACTTTCAAGAGTTCAATGTTTTAATGTTCAAACATGAGGTTTTCCTTAATTGATCTTGAAATAGGTACAGTGAACTCATGCTACAAGTATTTTGCAGTACTACAGTAGTATGTTTGTAATTACTTAGCCTTGTTTACTGGACTACATATTTTGTTTAACCTCATTGTGTCCTTAAGTGAAATTGATTAAAGAGGCAAAAAGTGTGTACTTATTGTCTCATACTGTATATAAGTAAATAAACTTTTATTTAAATTTTGTGTTGCATTCTTCTATCATTGAGCAAAATAATCCTTTCTAGCTCTGTCCATTAATAGAAAAACCTTGTTCTTGGCTCTAATGAAGGATCTGACTCTCCTTGATACCAGGCTATAAAAGAATCCAATAAATTATTCTTAATAGGATCTTATATGACTTTACTTATATTACTCTGCTGCCACTTTATAATCTAATATTGATATGTAAGAAATTAGTAAAAATGCATGCCTTTGCTCTTAATTTTCAATCCATTTGTTCTGCTGCAATATGGAGATATTTTATAGGCTATTTTTAGGTAATGTTTCTTAGTATCCTTTTTTTCTCCTTGCATTCTACTGTATATTCTGGTTTTTTATTTTGTTCCCCCCTTGCATTTCTTTTTCCTTTCAGGCTGGTTCCTGGTAATTTTGGTTTCTGCTCTGTACTGTTCATTGCATCATTTCAGCTAACTTGTCAGTAAATTCCTAAACAGATACACTTGCTACTGTGTAAGTGAAAACACAACTATTCCCCTTGCCCTTTATGCTTTTTAGATAAGAAAAGGAAGATCTTGCTCTCTATCCAGCTGATCTGATCTTTTATGCATAAACAGAACTTATAAAATATACCCTCTTTTTAAATGTCCATAATTTTAAAAAGCTATTGAGGACTTAAGAAATATTTACTGCATTTTTTTTCAGCTGCTCTTGTGAGTTGAAAACTAACAGTTTTTAAAGTAACTTGAGTTCTGGTGGCTGTTAATTTGAATACATCTGCAGATGGTGCTGGCATGTAGATCCTTTTTAAAAAAATAGGAAATAGTTTTAATGGGAATTGACAAAAATATGCTAATAAAAGAAATGACTATTGGATGGGGTACAAAATAATTATATACTCTGCTCTTTACTTTGTATTCTGTATTACAAAATAGCTTTGAACAAAACATTCTTTTTTTTCCTATTGGGAACAAATTATTACAAACATTTACTGATTCTCTAAAAATGAAGACTTATAAATACACTAGAACCATTTTAACATTATACATCAAGGTATTTTCACCATTGTAAAGTTAAGGATTACCATTTCAAGTTCTTTAGGACAAACGATCTAAAAAACAGTATTACCTTCTTTGCCATTTAATTCACTATTTTAGTAATCTGCAAATGTAAGAAAGAGCAGACATATTGTAGAATCCCTATTTAATTATTGTATACTTTTTATTTGTAATTTTCTACAATGAAAAAAAAAACAATGATTCAAGTCCATAGTATTTTTTGCAATTGAGAAACAATGTTTTGCAACATTATGAAATGTGCTATTCAGATTAACTTCTTCCGCAAATTGAACAAGTATCTTAAACATTTTACCAAGGTTAATACTATATTATAGAATATAAATTTGGAGACATTCAAAACTAATTAAGAACAGCTGTATCTTACTGTTTTACTACCACACTGATGTTGCTTTTATAATATTGAATACTTAAAATAAGCTTTTCTCCTTCTTGAACCTGAATGGGTTTATCAAGCACAATGGCAGCTTGTTTCCAGTGAGATGACTTGCTTGATGTATCCAAAACAATATCATTATCCAGATATACGTGATACCAAAATGGAATACCAGTCACTTGACCCGATTTACAAATCTCCACCTATAAAATTAATATGTGTAAAATTACTGTGCAGAAGTCTTTTTGTTTTGATAAAATTAAATGAAAATATTTATCTAAGGGAAATATATGTGCACAAGTGCCTGTCATTTTGCCATTTTTTTCGGCTTGTTACACGTGCTTCTGAAGGAGGAAATTTAAGATCCAAATTTCATTAATTTTGTATGAAAAGGTGGAGAAAACACTTATTGAATTGGGTGTGACGAATAATACCCTAGAATACGGAATTCAAAACAATCGTGATGTATTTAGAAAAATGAGGTGAAATTAACACAATGAAAGTCAGCTGAAACAAACTTCTGGGAAAACAAAAACAGTCACAGGATGATTGATATCTGACTTAATAATTCTTGAAAAAACCAACAAGATTTTGGCATAATAGTTGATTGCAAACTGGCTATGAGGCAGACAATACAATTTTAGGCTGTATCAATAAAGTTATCACTTCTAAATCATAAGAAGTAATAATTTTACTCTATTTTATTAAGGTCAAACCCATATCAAATATTGTGTCTATGATTTGAGAACAATTCAGATAAACTGGAACTTATTCATAGAAGAATAATCATGCAGATTATTAGGGAACTAGAACTAAATCCCATGAACTAATGCAGTTGGCCATGCTAAATCTTGAAGACTAACAATATGGCCAGTTCAACCCATTTATTCAGACAGTTATTAAAACTCTATTGGATACATTCAAATAGAGACTAATTAGCTAATCTATTTTAATTTGGATTCCAGCACTGAGAAAGAGGTTGGACTCAATCTAAAAGCTGATGCTTCTAAATGATTTTTTCTATAAATATATGCAATTTGTATAAGTGACCTAAGTAAGTAAACTACAAATGAGATTATTCTATTAATATTTCAGCCCATTTTTGCTGTGTTTTATATTTTTTAATGTTTTTAATTATAGTTACATGGGAACTAGTATTTTTTAATATTGTTGCATGCTTTGTTGAGTCACTTGATTTGTGAGATGGGCAGCTATATAAATTTGAGAATAAATAAGCAAGAATGGAAGCAAGTTGTATAAATTTTTGGATACCTATTCTGTAGTGTTGCTTTCTGCTTTGAAAAAAAAGCTCAATAAAACTTCACATAAGCAATGGCAGTTAAACTAGGGGTAGAACACAGAAAATATGCCATATGTCTGCAAACTTTTATCTGTCAAAATGAGAATTTGGGAAGAAGTAATTGAAAAATTGAGCATCAATTTCTATTTTGGAGACTTACCTCAACTTCAGTACTGCTATTATTAAAGTAAGGATTCATGAGATCTACTCGCAGAAGTTCTACTGAGTTGCTTAAAGGTATATATGGGAGTGTGGAGAGATCCAAAAAAATGCGGATAGGTACCTGAAACAGAAAGTTTTAAGATTCTATGTTCCATCCCGACATTTATGCATATTTCTGAGTCTTAAGAATTTATGTGGCTAAAACTGTTGGTGTTACATCTATACTATGTAAATATGTTCCTGTGCAGATGGTAACATACTGATAGTTGCAAAATAATTGTGGATTACTGTACTGTTAATAAAGATTTCAGAATTCCAAGCTATTACAATTAAAATAGTACAAAATAGTTTAGAATTAAAGCCAATCAAGTTCTAATGGCAGAAATGTATGGAATAGTAGAAATATATATTGCTGAAAAAGTGAACATTAGTTACCAACAGGAGATGGAAACAGGTGGCCAGTTTTATTTTGAAAAAACAAACTATTGAAACCAACCATATTTCCATCAACTTATCATAAATTATACTTCTGTTGCATTATCTTATCATTGTATGCTTGAAGACTGCATAACAAAACATTCAGAGACTTTTCATATATACATGCTGATTTAGGTCTTCATTATTTTCTTTAATTAATTTTCTTATTTTTCAATAATCAGCTTTTCAAATTCTGGCTACAAGTAGGATCACACGGAATTGATTTGTCTTTAAAACTTGGATTCTTTTCCTGCCTTGTCAATATTTGAAGGACTACATTCTTTCTAACCTTGAATTGGTTGATAAAAGGTGCTATGTTGAAACCAAGTGTGGGATCTGTCCCTTGTACAGCAGATTCAAGTAATAATAAATTGGATTCTACAAGCATTCCATATATTTTCACATGGTGTGGGAATATCTTTCCTCCAGAGTGAAGCAGACACCTAAATATAAAAATGTGAAGTGAGTCTAATAAGCATTTAAACTTCAGTTGTTTAGCAATAGCATCAGCATGTTAGCTTCTTTTATATTTCTAAATTTTAATTATGATACTGAAATAGAAAATTGGTAAATATTCTTTTTAATGTATAAAAATGTCAGCTTAGTTGTTATACTGAAAACAAATTCTCAGATTTTATTTATTTATAAAATGTATAGGTCACAGTAATTCTGGGCAGCTCATAAAAAACAAAAACTATATAAACTAAAAACCAACAAATTAATATAAAAATTCAAAACACCACAGGATCTGACAGGTTAATTTAGGTGAAAATACATAGCATGAGTTAAGCAAAATCCATTGACTGAGCATTAAAAACCCAACTTTTGATTCATATGTGGCCATGTAATTCTGCAACACTGAAAGAAAACAGTAAAATCATTATTTAAAAAATGTAAAAGTAAACAGGATAGGCACTTCTCAGTCTCTCTGATTAAACAGCATCATTTAGTGGTGCTTAGGAAATGTTCTTTTTTTGTTGCAGCACCTGTCTTTGGGAAAAGCTAGATGTATGACTCCCACCCCAGTGTGAAAATCGTGGCCTGCGGGCCAGATACATCGCATTGGCCAGCCCTACCCCCGATTTAGCGAAGGGGAAAAAAAGCCACAGTACATCACGATACCATGAGTTTGGCACCTCTGCTCTGAAAGGTGATGAAAACCTGGCTATTCTACCAGGCCTTGGGTGTTAAGCCTCTGCAGGGTTTTTATTTCCTATGAACATTTTTACCCCAGATAACAAAGATCTTTGTTCTTTTAATACTATTTCTTGCTTTTAAATCTGTAAGCTGACCAGAGTGTGATGGACTTAGTCTCTAAATTCTAAAATGTATTCAGCTATGAGCCTATTGATAAGTATAGTTTTAATAAATTACAAATTATATTTTCCATATAACTGAGTGGTGCAATAAAATCCAAGAAACTTGTTTTTTACATTACCTAGATATTGCAGCTTTCTCCATCACATCCTGCTGGATTAAACCAGAAGTTTCTATGACATCCAGAATTATAATACTCCATAATTTGTCAGATTTAGGTCTTTGTAGTACCTTGTTTTCATCCTGTAGATGACTAAACCAAAATTCTAATGTTTCTCTGGGAAATTGGTTGGCTTCTGAAATCAAACTGAGAGCTACTTGGTGGTGTTCTTTTTCAACCGAGCTGTATGCCTTAACTGCCCCAAATTTACCTGCAATTACTGGCAAAATTGAAAAGCCTTCTGATACATCCAGTATATACAGAGGATCAACAGTTACAGAATTTTTGCTCTGGTTCTTTTCAAACTCATGATGGTGACCAACCACATCCATTGAATGTGACTCTTCATGGTGGCTGAATGATGACAACACTTTTCCTATTGCGATTTTAAAGCATTCATGATACTGCAGATTATTTAATAAAGCAATTTCAGTGGATTCTAGCATACATTCTTGGCAGACATTTTCCAACATGCTTGCTGTCTGAAGACTGGCTAGAGCACTGCAGAGTTCAGCTTCGCTGTTCTCCCTCAAATTTCTTTCAACATCCATTTCATATCCTGAAGTCTTAATGGAAATTCTTTGAATTCTAAGATAGCAGTCCTGGCAGCATATTTCCATTACAACACAATCTCCGGATGTCACAGAATGATCTGTACACCATAAAGGAATGACAATTAAAATACAAATTCAAATGTGTTTTGTAAAATATTTAATATGTAAAGAGTTGTCTTCTACTTGTTGGAGAATATAATTCATGTGTAAACTTAATGCAAGTTCAATAACACATGCCAAGCAGCTTTCAATAAACGGATCTACACTATGCAAATATTTTATTTTAGCCATTGCTTATGTATATTTTTATACTATTGAGCCAAAATTAGTTATTTATAAACAACAGGGTACTTGGTAATAATCCATCAAACTGTGTAGTGATGTTCAAACTCATAATAACGTAGTTTAAAATGATAAAACCAAGAAAAGGTGAGAAATGGGAAGAGAGGCATTTAAACAGGTACAGCTATATAATCCCACTCTTTTTGTGGAATTTGCATTTTAGTCTTTATCCAGGATAACCACCAAATTCCCATAATCCAATTTCAACTTAATTCCTCAAGAAACGGAGAAAGCACAAAAAACTATTATATGTATTAAATAATCCATTATAGAAAGCTACAGACATTACTAGGGGTTAGGTTTGTACTAACCTCTGTGGGGAGACCTCAAAACAGGTGCACCAAGGTTGCAATGGCTGAAGCTGTTTCAAGGAATGGGTCTTTAAAGTGCTTCCCTTAATTTGTATACACATAATGTTAGAAATTAACAATATATTTCCAAGCATGTTTTCTTGAGTTTAGATGTATGTTTACTGTCAGATCTGGTGGCTTCCACCTGAGTGGTATTTCTGAGAACCTTGAAGACCTGATTGTTTGGCTAGGCCTTTTACTAGATAGGTGTAAGAGTGGGTGTGTGCTTTGTTGCTTTCTGGGTTTTGTCATCTTTGTATTTTGAGTTCACTATTGCTGTATTGGTTTTATTGTTTTATAGTCTCATGCTTCATGTGAACCACCCAGAGTTGTTGGCAGTTGAGCAATGTAAATAGGAATAAAACAAATAATCATAACTCTTTTTCTGCTGACTAAAAACCACAAATAACTAAGGTATGACTAAGTCTAATTATGAATGAAAATGTATTATAAAGTTCCAGCTACATACAAGATTGAGTTAGAAGTAAAGAACATTGAGAAAAGGAAAACCTATTTCTCAGTCATTCCAAATTCTTTGTCACTATCTCTTGAGTCTTAATGAAACATTTCATGATTGCTCTTACTAAACCTATTCTAAATCTACAAATTTAACTTCTTTATTAGATCAAGAAATGACACTATACTTCTATACAAGCAATGAAATATTAGTAAGATATGAAGTGTGATTAAGGGAAAACAACATTAAAATTTAGCTTAATCCAAGTCACAGGAAGATGCAAACAACTTAGCCAACTCAAAACAGGTGGCCAAGTACACCTGTAAAGTAGGAAATAAACCTTAACTGCAAGAAACTTAAAGCTCTAACCTTAAACCTTAACTGCAAGAAACTTAAAGCTCTATAATAAGGGATAGTTGTGATCAGTTCTGAAATTCTTTTAGTTATGGTTTCCTAATTTTCTGCAATATGTATTCTTTTTTCTTGGATCCCCAGGTATGATTTAGTTTTACCTGAATATGTGAAATTTGACAAGTTCAGTATTTTCTACAGTGGAGTTGTTTATTACTTTTTTGTTTTTCTTTAAAGAATAAAATTGTGTATTATAGGTTAAATTCTACTAAATCAGGTTCTCTATGTGGAGTGTCTCTGGAAAGAGAAGAAAACTGAATATATCAGCTATATGTGCAAGGCACCTCAACAATTGACCTGATCAAGAATGGTAGGCTGAATCTAGGTTTAGTTTTACCTATCACCTAACTCTAAGGAAGAAGATTTATTTCTTTTATACAGAAAGCATAATCTTCTATTACCTGTGCAGGATTATGATTTTTCATTGTTCTCTTTCAAATATATGTCTATGTGATAACATAGATATGCATGTATGCATGTGTGCAACATAAAGTCAAAGATATACACCAATGTCCCAAAATTTGTGCAACATTTATTTGACTGATTTGATGTCTCTTGACTCCAAAAGATGCTTGATCTCACAATATATCAAAACAATAAAAAATTGCATAAGTCAAACAAGCAACAGAATCAGATTCAAATAAAGAAGAGAAAGCAGAGCAAAATGGTGAACCTGGCAACCCCCAAACAAAACACCAACAATTGACATCCAACAAATGGGGCACCAACCACCCTGGGAAAACATGGTTCTTTAAAATGCTAAGAGCGTAGGTGCGATATGGATCTCAGGGAGAACTTCATATCTTTATTTTTATAAGTTCATGTAATTAAATGACATTTTTTATCTATAATTTATATGATTAATTTCATTTTTTAATCCATTTTAACCAAAAAAGAGAAAATTCACATTTGGTTTTAATAGAATGAAAGACATACCAAGGAGACCTTGTACAGGATAGACTGCTTGCTCCCAACAGGTGTCCACATTTGGACTTGTAGAAAGAGTAAATTCATCATCAAGATGTAGTGTAAACCAGACAACAACAGCATCTAGTATTCCGTCTTTAATAATGGGTATATTCATCTTGGATGGCTTACTAGTGGACAAATTTTTTAGCTCCTGGTCAAGTATAAAAGAAAAATATGATGGTAAGTTACAGCTCATTGTTAATCACTTTCTACTCCAAAATGTAATTTATTAAACATTTGCTTTTAAAAACTTCTCAAATAAAGAATTTATTACAAAAAAATAGTAATAGGCCAAGTACTATATGTAATGAAATAATTTTAAAAGAAATGTAAACAATTCTTGCTCACATTGTTAATATTGTAGTAGATACATTGCCATATAGAATACGATCGAGATTTTCCCAAGGGGTATACAACCATACCTAGAGTGCAGCTATGTCGTAGTCTCTAACCAACCTTGGCTGATTTGGGAAAGTTTTGCAGGGTTGAATTTGCTTATGACCACTAAGAAAAACCAAAACTGTAGGCTAGACTGTAAATCAAAGGAATATTCCCTAAGAAGATGGCAGCCTAATATTTCTGTGTTTCCCCCCCCAAAACAACATAGATATGTTTATGGAGACATCAGAAAATGTTACTTTTATTTCTTTGTATAACATCATAACCAGCTGAATGTCTACAAATAAAACAAATATATTGACCTGAGAATCCTGCACAGCCTAAGAATTGTGCTACTGGATTAAAGATGTTTCATCTGGTGAAGAAGGCTGCAACAACTCAGTGACAATATTACTGACTGACTATATTATTGACTGATTACATTGACTATACAATAATACCTGGGTTCCCAAATATAATTTGCCTATGCCAATATTTGGTTGTCTTCAACCAGGGTGAGAAAAACACACATACTTAATTGTAATAAGACATATGGGGTTTCCAGTGGCAGTCCCATCAAAGACGGACGGACCGAAGACCGCAATCGTGCGCAGCTTCGATCTGTTCTCATCCTGTTGGAGGGTCCCAACAGGACCGGATCCATCTTGGATCCACCTCGGAGGGGTGGGGGAAGAGGGCGAGACTGCCAGCTGGTTCGAAGGGAAGCCACATCTCCCCTCCCTGGGTAGGTATACTCCCCTTGAAGACAGGTAGATAGCGGCAGTCTTAATGGCTGCCCTTAAGACGGGAAGCTTCCAGGATTTAAGTGTGTGCTGGAGCGGTGAAGCGATGATATAATATACAATGACACGTACAAATCTTCCACTACTTTATTTTTCAGTGTTTCCACCTCCCTGTTTCCTTATGCTCAAGTAATATTGTTGATTAAGATTACATTTTTATTCCACATACTTCCACATCCATACTTTGGTTAAATTTTTCCTTAAATGTAAGAATTGACATAAGTATCTCTTTTATTTGAGCAATATTAACAATATCATTCATACGTATTAATATCAAGATATAACAGTAGTTGCATACCTAGAAAATGCTATTGTGATAGCTGACAAATAGATTCTACAACAGAACAGGAGAGAATTGCGTATGGGTCAGTAAAATTGTACCTATTAGTCATGCATCTAAAACATGCATACAGTGCTATTAATAAATATTTAATATCCAAATATAACATTTGGATAAATTTTAAAATATTGTATGGAATAAATGTATCATCCTAATGAAATTCATTTTTCAATTTTACAATAAAAACTAGTAATTATTAGTCTTTTCTTGTGCCAGTAAATTACCTGCAAATTATTAAAATTGACTGTCAGAACTTGAAAAATTTCTGTAAGAGCTTTATAACCACCAGGTATTCTGCTGAGTTTTTCAGTAGTGTAAGGTTCAAGGGTTTCACTGGACTTTAGAGAAGCAGACGTTGGACTGCAAAACTTCAGTGTTTCTGGCAAACAGACACCAGCAATATCTTTTACCTCCACTCTGAAAAAAGGAAAGGATCAAAATTAGAGTTGACAAGACAAATTCAAACATACGTCCTTTTCATTTTAAATAATTTGTTCTACAGTTAGGTATGGTGTTTTGCATATTAAAAAGTCTCATTTGGAAGTTTAGCTGAAAAGATGGAAAGTAATACTACTATTTGGACTTTCAAAGAAGATCATATTTACAGTAAGGATGAAATATCTGTTTTCCCTCAAGCCTGTTATTTATTAAAGAAATCTGATTTAGGTTAGCTTTATTTAAATATAGCTGGTGGGAATGGATTCCAGAAATTGGGAAAAAAGGGAACATATCATTTTCCATTTTATTCATAGTAAATCTCTAGGATTTCAATCTCATGTGCAAATCTAATCATGATTTGTAGGAGTCTACAGTACTCAATTGAAGCTTAAACAGACCATTAGCCTTCCATTTTCCACCCATTATTTTCAAGCAGCATAGTTTGTAACTTGTACCAATGGTGGTATGCTACCAGTTCGGTCCAGTTTGGCCAAACCAGTAGTAAAAAAAAAAGCCTCCCATGATCAACTGAGAGGAGGAGACAATCAGCTGAGAAGAGAAAGAAGAGAAAAGCGCAGGATCGGCCTTCCCACCCACCCCTGCGCTTTTCTCTTCTTTATCCTCTCAGTTGATTGGCGCTGCAGGCCTCAGCTGGTGTGGGGAAAGCTGCGCACGGGTGTTAAGTACATGTGTACACGCGTGATCACTGAACCGACAGTGGAACAGGTAGGATCCCACTGCTGAATTGTACCCTTTAATATGTTGTAAACCAATGACATTAAGCATGTTTTTACAATTTTGAAAAAAGTTGTTATTTTAATTTATATGTCATAAATCTTAAGTTTGAGTGAGAAAAAGTAAAACTGTAATCAACTGTATAAAATGCTTACTGTTATGTCATTATAGCAGAGTATGTTTTAAATAAGAGGTCCTGCTGGTCTTGCGTCTTCACCTATCTTTTTAACAGCAGATTGTATTTTTATCAATCTTGTAAGATTGTAAAAACATGCTAAATGTCATTGATTTACAATATATTAAGAGGTACAAGTTACAAATTATGCTATTTGAAATCAATGGGCAGAAAATCAAAGGCTAAGGGAAATGGTCTGTTTAAACTCCAATTGAGTAATGTATATAAATCCTATAAATCATGATTAGATTTGCACATAAGATTATGAACGTAGTGAAATGTAGCGAATACATGGCTTTATAGAATATATTAATGCAAGGGTATATTTATTTGTAAGATTTACATCTTTCCTTTTATTCAAAAGCCAAGGCAGTTAGGGTTAGGGTTACTATTTCTACTAATACTACTACTATTTCTCCTGACTCCAACAATTCTGGAAAATACATTGGGCTAGAAAGAATGGCTGACCCAATTCGTCCAGTGAATTTCTATGACTGAGCTGAACTACAGCCTAGGTCTCACTGCTTTTATACCTGATTTGGGAGAATTTATTATTTACAGTGCTTTATTTAGTATATAACTTATGCAAAGAACCTTTGCTAATGAATGGATGAAAAATATAAATAAATTATATAATTAACAGCCTAGAAAATACATATTTTTTCTATGAAGTAAAATGAGGGATTGTGCACAGTATAAATTTGACATCAACATTTTTATGATTAATATTTTTCCATGCTTATTAACATGTTTTTAAAAGTCTTCTTAATAAAGTTAGTAAAAAAAGTACAGAGATTTTTTTTTGTTTTAAAAGTAAAGCATTCTCTGTTTTTTGTCTAAAGATTAAATATTTTTTTCCAACAATAAAAAATATACCTATGATGTCTGCGTATCTCTTTGCATTCCACTGCCATGCCCCACATAGTAGCTCCTGCTGGAATAACTTTACCATAGTTTTTAGAATCATCTCTAACATCCTTAGGCTGTAAAATAGATGAAAAATTGTGTAACAAGATTTATTTACTGTTCATGTATTAAGAAATAATACTTATATTTTAGCTTTTAGACTGCAAAAATGCCCAAAAGCAACTTTTCAGATTAACAAAATTTCTGGACTGGTATAAGACTATGTTTATAGTATATCATAATATAATTCATAATATAAAAATAACATATCTTTTCTTATCAGGCCTTAGATATTAAGATACTAACCTCTGGTGGTAAAAGTAAGTGTTCCCAAGCATGGATCAAGCTTTCTACAATTCCCTCACCAAATAAACCAGAATCAACTGTTTCGGTGATAACAAGGGAAACTCTATTAAATATAAAAATATAGTTATAACAAGAAGCCTTAAAAATTATAAAGCTTAAATTCAATAATCTGAAATTAGCAGTCCTTTCTTAGACAACTGAGTTGTGATCATTTCGCAAGTGAACTTCTTCAATAAAATAATGTCCCTTTACTTCTTATGTTCTTGCTCTAAACATTACTTCTTAGTATTTTAATAAAAAGTACCAAAAGAGCAGAAATGTTTGAAATTGGAGGCAAAGTGAAACCAGTGTCACTGGTATCTTTTTTAACTTTGGATTTTATATAATTTTATTTAAACTGAAATTCTTTAGCCACTTACTTCAAAATAAGTAACTGTGAATTCAGTATATCAGCTACTGAGTAAATATACTTCAGCTGCATAGTATAATGCTATTACATTATTAACAATAAAATCAGTAAAAGATTGAAACTTTAAAAAATCAATTTCAATAGAAAGACAACACTTTATACAATATTTGCTCTTGCTATTTTGGAGAATATGAATAATATTATTCATAACATTAGCAACGAATACCATATTACTTTAATTCAAAATAACAGAACAAAATATAAGATATAACCTTTCAGGTATGTGCTTTGGAATTTCTATATCAAAGGATTTCATGTGAAGAAGTTTGATTTCTCCATCCAAATTGTTTGCAGCTAGCACTTCACAAGCCAATTCATACATGGTCTTTGACAATTCACAAGCATAGACAGGAGATGCTCCAGCCTTTTTAGCAAGCATACTGAAAAAGCAGAAAATATTCCATAGAAATTATACATTTTTGGTTAGACAAAATATTAATAATTTAACTTTAATATAATTTCTGTATAAAATATTTGATACTCATCTTTAAAAACCCTAGAACATATTGGGGTGGGCATAAAGTTCAGGTAATAAAAATAATGTCATTAATTTCTTAAACTTTTTAAAACAAGAAAAAATCTAGTTGTATCAAACACCATTTTAAACCAAAATAAATCTAGGATGATGATGATGAGCCTTGTTTAGTTATACACCCACCCCAACTTTATTTGCTATAGTCTCTCAAACTTTGTAACAGGTGGAAATGTCAGGATAGCTAAAAAAAACTGTAAGGAAACAATGATTATTCAATTCTGCTACAAAGGTTGCAAGGCTATAAGCTGAAGCTTCTTAGCATCTGTTTGCAAGTATGCTAATGGTATGCCATGTGAGTGCCATTTGGCAACTTTGTATTGAACTTGGGTAAATTGAAATATGTCACTAATACTTAGTCATTATTATTTTATAAATAAACATGATAATATTTGTATCCTGAATTTTCAACAAACCTGAGAATTCCCGTTCCTGTTCCAATATCAAGTACACTTCTATATCCTGAACGAACTGCCTTCTGGATTGCTTTTTGATACAGCAAATTTCTACTGTAATCATTAAGCATAATGAAATGCCATCGTTCTACCACCCAGTTGGCAACCCGATAAAAGTTCTCCTTTGCATCAGGAAAGTCAGGGTTTAACTTCCTAGCTTTATGAAAATATGCAGCTGCTTCATCTCTAAAGCCCAACCTAACAGGGGGGAAAAATTACACAATCAATAAAAGCATTAATCTTTAATTTTTCGAACAACAGAATTCTGAGAAAAATCTATATTTGTAGTATGAAGACATATAGCAGTTTACATTATAGAAAAGTGCAGGTGATAATGGCTTACCTTTGAAAATAAACAAATAACACATGCAAATAAATCTATGAGTGTTTACAGGTAGTCCATACTTAATGACTGCCCTGTTTAGCAATTGTTTGAAATTCTAACAGTTCTGAAAAAGTAAATTTATCACTAGTCCTTGCACTTATGACCATCACAGTGTCCCTGCAGTTGAATGATCCAAGATTTGGGTGCTTCATAACCAGAAGCCGCTTATGAGCACTGCAGTCCTATGATTGCCATTTGTGCTTCCCAGTCAAGGAAAGACAATTGAGAAACCAGCAATAAAATCCAAGTTGTAATCACATGATATTTTGCTTAATGAACATGGCAACTCACTTAATGATCGCAGAAGTGAAACTCTATCACAGTGATGTGATGACTCACTTAATTACCGTGTTGCTTGGTAATCAGTTACCTTTATGATAAATTATCTCAATAATACTGAGTCCAAATATAGCATTTTGCTCTTGTGAAAGCTTGAGTTAATAACAAACTACTGAGATACAGAATTATCCATTTCCATTGTGGAAATTAATCTGGGAAAAACAGAAGATCCCTATGCACAAAATGATCACGAGGATGAATCTTAAAATTAAACACAAAATGGACACCAAGCAACAGTCTAGAAATTATAATTAATGATACGTTGCGTTTAGAGTTTGTTCTAAGGAGTCTGAGCTAATAGACAAAAGAGAAGCTGCCAGGCTCATTTGATTGTAAAGTAAATACCTACACAGGTAGAATTAAGAATGCATATTCAGTTAGTAACTTTGTAATTTATTTAAACAGAAGTTTCTTTACTCAGAAGTTTTATGCACATTAGAACATTTAATCAAATTATGGCTAATTAAGTATAACTTCACACCTGAAAAGATGTTCCCCCATGCTGTTATATATGACTTCATCATTAGGATATAATTCCAGAGCATGTTCATAGCAATCAAATAAATCTTGAATTCGTGCAAGAGAATCCAGCTCTTCTGCCCATTTAAAAAGGGTAAACTGAAATGTTTCCTAAAAAAACAAAAAAAAGTTGTTTATCAATTTAGAGATTTATTATGCAATATATCCAGGATAGGGGAAAATAGGCAGAAAATTTCTCACCTTAACATCATTTTTAAATTCAGGAGCTATGTTTAATACCAGGAGATAGTGAGCATATGCAGTTCCAAAGTCCTGATTCTCCAGGCAATGTTGAGCACTTTGCAAGGATCTGGAAACTAATTCACGACGGCCAGTTTCTTGACTAACTTTGTGTCTATGCTGAGATTTGCTTTTACCGTTAGGCATTTTTAATTAAAGCAACTCCACTTTAAAGATAAAAGATAAAATTAACATTTATTCTATGATTATGACCAAATTCTATTGTTTCATTACCATTTAAAAAAAATCAAAGTTACTTTTGTCCCCATTGCAATTATTGATAAAAAAGGAGCCATAGGCTAATTTGTACTATTTTGAACAGTACTGTCATTCCGTTCCTAACAAGAGGAATGGAGTCAATATATAGCATAATTCCTGTTTTTGTAAATGCAAGAATGCACTCTATAAGTCAAACTTTATATCAAAATGAAAAGCTGTATTTTTTTGTCTAGAGAGTGATTGTCTTTAGAACATCATGTATGTAAGAAACATACACAGGATCTTATTTAGTGTGGCTAGCAGTACTGAATAAAAATAATCCAACAACTGATAGTTCAGATAGTCCTAATTTTATGACGGCAACATTGCTAAGATTGCTAAGCTGTTACTAAGTGATGAACTCATAAAGTGCAATGTCACATGACAGCATCATTTTGTGATGACAGTCACGGTTACCACTATAATCCCAAGTTGCATAGGCTTTTAAGCGGGAAACAGGTCCAGGTAAGGACTGTGGGAGACAGCAGAGGGAGGGCCTTGGAAGACCTCTGCAGGCTGTGTGTGAGTGGAAAGAAGTTAGAAGCAAGGTGCTGTGCCATGTGAGTGAAGAGTAGTCCGAGTTGGGGTCACTTTCCATTTGCTCACTTGGTTTGACTTTACTTATGTAAAGCCAGGGTAGAATGTTGCAAATAGCAATGATTACCAAGTGCTTGAATCATGTCACAGTGGCCATGGGGTAACGGCCAGAACTTTGAGGACAAGTTATAAGTATCACTCATTTAGGCTATGGCAACTATAAATGGTTGCTGAATGAATGTTTATAAGTAAAGATTACCTGTAATGAAATTTACATGTAGCTAGAATTTTAATTTTAATTTGTATTCAATATACTTTCATTGTGAGCTTTTATATCAAATCTAATCAATCTTTATTCCGTCAGCAAATAAAACACAAGAGTCACAATTAAGATAAAAAGAAAAAGATAAATATCTAAAAAAATGTTAAGAGTTAATACTTTGGGGTACATTGCAGATTATAAAACAGTACTTGACTATGGTCAGGGAAATAATATCCGATCCAAAAATAACATATTGAGATCAAAGAAATCTGAATGACCAGGATATTTAGTAGGGAATAGAAATAATTCGGAATGAGCATCTGCAGAGAAAGGGCAATACAAAATAACATACTCCATCAATTCAGTTATTCCTCCACCACATGGACAGTCTCTGATCGAAGGGGATTTTTTTCTTTGTATCTTCCTTCAGTAACAGCTGTTGGGAGGGCACTGAATCTGGCTAAGAATAACATTGAGATATCTAGCTGGTTGGAGAAGATATGCAGAGTATCTCAAGAAGATGTTTGTAGATATTGCTGGAAAATCTGCTTGCATCTTTAAATCAATGGCCCAGCTTTTCTACTTAAAACATTAAGCAAATTACTCCTACTCTACTATTATTAGCTGCATCAAATTACCTTCCCATCATGTTGACAAAATATATTAAAAGAACAGATTAGAAATCATTAAAATCTGTTCAAGGAATTTCAGGAATCTCTGAAAAATACTCAAGCCTGGCCAAAGAAATGAAGTGATTAGATTATGTGATCAGGGTAAACCAAGCTACATACACAGTACATAAATAAGTTCAACTGAAAAAAGTGACTTATGACTATTTTTAGCACTTATGATTGTTGCAGCATCTCCGCAGTCATGTGATCAAAATTCAGACACTTGGCAACTTACTCATATTTATGATTTTTGCAGTATTTTGGGATTATCTGTTCACCTTTCCGACTTCTGACAAGCAAAGTCAATGGGGAAGCCAGATTCACTTAACAACCATGCTACTATCTTAACTGCAGTGATTCACTTAATAGAGGCAAGAAAACTCCTAGCAAAACTCACTTAACAGACTTAGACTTAGAATAACTTTATTGTCACTCTGAATGTACATTAATCGGCAAATATTAAAATGAAATTTTGTTGCATACAGCTCTCAAAGGGTCACCACCTCCAATATATGTTTCACTTAACATAAATTTTGGGCTCAACTGTGATCATAAGTCAAGGACTATCTGTACTAAAGATAAACTGAAACATGGCTTTTAAGACATACTTCTGAAGGACCCAAGTAGATCCACAAGAAGAGACAACAAATTGTATTTTTCTCACCAGCAACCAATTTGCCCTTACTAGATAAATAAGATAAATAAGCAAGACATGTTTCATAGGTATTAACTATTAGATGGACTAACATAAAAGTGGTCCCAAACTTTCTGAGATTTAAAGCTTTAAAAGTTAACATCAATATCTTAAAGTTCAATTATGTTGGAATACATAAACCCATACAACAAAAGCTCTTTCGGGGTCATTGTTTTTTAAAAGTTAAAAGGGATCCTGGGAGAAAAAGGGTTACCATGTATCGAATCCCCTTGTAGGGAAGGCAGAATATAAACCTCACCAATAACAGTGCAATAACATGTAAAGTTTGTGTTTGTGAGGTTAACGAGACCACCACTTTTGCGCCTGTCATTTTCAATTTCCCTCGTAAAAATATGCCACGCAGTAACTCCAGAGCAGTAATCATCATTGGGTGAATCTATCAAATTATTAATGTTTATTCAGAAATGCTAGTCTTGGGTGAAGGCCCTCGCCGCCCCATGCAAAAACAAAGGACACGGAACCTTACTTAACCTTTCAAACTGTTGACAGTTCAAGGCGAAGAGGAAGAGGACCAAGATCTCCGCCTTCTCGTTTACAAAAAAAAAAAACCCCAAAACCAAACAAACGCCGCGTGGAAGACGCTCTCTCGCGTTATGCCTACACGCGTTTATGGCAGCCAGAGTAACGTTTCCGAATCACCCACGCACGCTAGAGCTTCCTCGGACAATAGAAAGCAGGTTCTGGGAAGAGAAGCAGCCCAGGGAGGAGAAGGAATCAGGGCGCAACCACCGGACTTTCACACGCACGTCTTCCGCTCCACCTCGGTCTCTTGCCCCTCCGCGCCGAACGTTGAGGAAAGCCCGACTGCTTTGAACAAGGAGCCGGCCGAGGCCTCTCTGAGGCAGGGAAAAGGGCGGCGCCATATGCTGCGTGGCCTCGCGGCGCCTGTCGTCACCGCCGCCGTGCTTAGTAAAATAAAGTTGAGGTCTTAGTGCCTTTCTCTCACACGGCGCGGCTCTACGTGCGTCGTTCCGTAGTTGTATTTAGATACTCCTTTGAAGTTTATTTCTCGGTAGATTCGCACACATACGCGAATCAGCCCTGAATGCAAGAGACTTACACTCCCGAGTTTCAGGGTGCCTTCCAGGATGAATTAAAATTGCGGGGCTACCGCCGGTTGCAAGAGCTTGCTTGAAAGATCAAGATTCAGAAAATTGATTTTATTCAGTGTAACTGAGGGGGCGGGGTGGTAAAGTGAAGTTTTAAATTCATTTATTCAGAAATCACCCTAATTTAATGGAGACCAACGGCCGCTGCTTTATGGTTTCGGCTGCATAATAAAACGGAACGTCGCCGTTTTGTTCCCAGCGGCTTGTTCTGTGAACCGTCCCAGTTGGGACAACCGCGGGACTCCAAAGCAGCGGCTGAAGCTGACGTCCTTGTTCCAAGGCCCCAAAGGAGACTCCTCCGTCACCCTGAGGAGCGTGAGAGCGGCAAGACCCGGACGGCTGAAGGGAGGAGCCGAGCGAGAAAAGCTCGGCGTCGGATTGGAAAAACTTGGAAAAACCGGAGGCGGGAAGGCCGGGAGTGGAGACTCAGCCTGGGAAGGAGGCGGGACGAGGGAGGGAATGCAGTTGCGGGCCAGCCTTAGTCCCCTCTTCCAGCCAGTCCGCGGGGAGAGGCTCGTCCGGGGAGCTTCTTCAAAGCAACCCAGTTTTTGCCTCGACTTCCAGCGAAGGACCCGAGGCAGTCCAAGGAGCGAGGAGCTGGTGGCGGATTTCTCAATGACCAACGCCTTTCCCCGCCAGTCTCCTTCCAGTGGCTTTGCTCGTCGGCGGCGCCCAAGCCCTCCGATTGTCCCGCATTTCTTTTAGAGGGGCTGGGATAGTCCTCGGCGGCTGTCGGCTTTGCCCGGGTGAGGCGCTGTAGGGACCGGTTCTGGTCTGGAGGAGAGAAGGCGGGCGTGCTCCTCCTTGCAGCCTCTCGGAGAAGGATTACATAGGCTGAAGTATTTTGGTCTAGCCCTGCCGCCGCCTCAGCAGCCATGGGACTGCAGCCTTTGGAGTTCAGCGATTGCTACCTGGACAGCCCTTGGTTCCGGGAAAGGATACGAGCTCACGAAGCGGAGCTGGAGAAAACCAACAAATTCATCAAAGAGCTGCTCAAGGATGGCAAGACGCTGATCGCCGCCACCAAGAGTGAGTCGAAAAGTTGGGAGAGGCGGGGATCCAAAAGTATGTGCGGGGAGGGAGGGTGGGGGTGGAAGGCTGGTTTTGGCACTAAGAGGCGCAAAGCAAATAGTGGAGTTTGCGACCAGATTCCCTGGCGCACGTGTCCCGGTAATCTTTTCTTGCCCCTACAAGGTCTGGGGGCTCCGAAAGCGCGATTAGCTGTTTGGATTATTTCTCTGACTCCTCCTCTTGCCTGGGCCAAAACAGCAGATGGGAGCGCAGTTTGAGAAGAGTGTTGGGTTTCTTGAATTGGATGATCGAAGCTCAGAGTAGAGAGCAAAGGACGGTAGTAAAAATTGCGAAGGCAAGGATCGTGTAAGGGAAAAGGAGGGCTCCCCAAATTCACGAGCACTCGGCGCTTTTACGCTAATGACCGAATCGGTCGGCTTTCTTTGATATCTACAGCAATCAATGCATACCCAAATTCATACGGATAGTATATAACACGGGAAATATTAACTTAAAAAAGAGCTGTAGCTTTCCGACTAATATGTTTGCATAATTTGGACTATGTATTATGCTGTTATGCTACTACTCCTTTCTGAAGTATTCATTGAAATCGGTCGCGAAACCGCGCAGCCTCTGAATAGGGGAACACTGTCAGGAATCCCACAAACTTATTATTTTGACTTATCAATTTACCTTGAAACTTCTGAAGCACTTCAAATTATATTTCGAAGCCTTCCATTTTTTTAAAAAAAATATAATATTCATTATTGAATACGATTTTATTGTATACAATAAGAATTCCCACAGCTGCCTTTCCTGATTGTCTATTATAGGCCCTTGGTGCTGTAATCAGAGTTTACGAGATTTATATTTATGCACAATATGATTTTATAGCTAGATTTATTCTTCAATATTTGTATTGTGAAATCATTGTGCCGTCAATTACTTGATTTAAATATTTTCGGAATACACATCACTTCTTAACTTCAGTTTGCAGTCATTGTAACAACACAGATATGTTTAACTTAGGTCTGAAACCAGGAAACCAAATATTGTGAGGAAATGCAACAGATATAAAATAAATATATTCACTTTTGTTTAAGGTAATCCTATATGTACATCTGTATCTTGTGTATATGCATATTTGCTTCATGTAATTTAAATGGATGTGTAAATGTTCTATGTGTTTGGTGTTTATATGATGTTTGGAATGAGATTAATCTTTCTTTATGCAGCAGGTTAGATTTATCTTTCAAAATAATTACTACATAAGCTGATGAAAAACTATATAATTTTGACTTTTTTTATTAAACACTCACTGCTTTTTTCTTCCTTATCTTGTGTTCTATAGAAACATGGGTGTATTCCTTAAACCTAGAACTTTGATTTCTGTCAGGGTGTGCTGTGATATTGAAGATTAGCTCATATTTGATTGAGTTAATGATTTCCTGATTACAGCATTATATCAGTTCAACAGTATGGACCAGATAATTGTAAATGGGAAAGTGTATTTGTTGTAATTGTACAACAAATTGTAAACTCTCCTTAGAATTCTCTCCTCTCCTCTTACAACACAGTTCTGAGTTATACAATAAATAGTTTTGCCCTGAACAGCTGCATGATTGCAACTGGGTTGTTCTTGCACTAGCTTAACATCCCGGATATTGTGCTGAAGTAATTAAACGTTAAGCCTTTTAGTCCTCTGCAAGCAATTACATCCATCATTTTTGTTGTTGCATGAATTTGTAAGTTTGAGGAAGAGCCCTAAATCAATAACAAAACAAATTGGAGTGGAATAGAAAATATAGCTCCACTAAAACATTGCTTGCTGGATATTCAAATGCACTATAACAGAACTTCGGTTTAGAAACATAGTTTTTGATACTTATTTTGATTGTTTTTCAGTAATGAAGGAGTAGGGTGATAAGTTATGTATTTTTATATTAGTGTTTATTGATATTGGTAAAAGATATGTTTTTTTTCCTTTCCCTTCTGTTCTTATTTACACTTTGGTTCTCAGTTCCAAGTATTATATCTTCTGGTATTTTTCAGGAGTGTTCTTAATCGAATCTTTCATAATATTATGCAAGTACTTTATATAATATAAGTATATTATATAAGTACCGGTACTCAATATAATTGCTATAGAACAAATACATGAAAAATAATATTTCCAAAACTCTAGGATAATATATGTTTATTCTTTTTTGTAAATTCCTTCTGGGACATGGAAAAACATTTGACAAATATTTAATGTAGCAAATGTAATATTAATTGTGTCCTGTTGCTCTGTTCATTAAAAAAATCTAAATAACACTTTTATATCCATAATGTTTAGGGTCCTGTAACTTCTTTTTGTAATAGTTTTTATCAAGAATTCTAATGCTGGTAGTAAAAGAAAATACAAACTAAACTCAGAAAAAGAAAGAATGTACAAAGAAAGAAAAAATAAAATAAGAAAAAGAGAAAAGAAAATTTAAAGTCTAACTTCTTATCTTCATCAGAACAAGTACAGGCAGAATAATAATTTTTCATCCCCATGTAATAATATTTACAAGAAATATTGCTTCTTCCCATAACGCATCCCTTATCCAAACTCAAATCCATAGATGCAAAAAGTCCCAGGTATACAAATGTGTCTTATTTTAATATTGATCAAACAAACCAATTTTATATTCTTTCCTTTTCTTCCAATCTTAATCTTTAATTTATTCAAATATTGTCATAGAATTTGATCTTTCTTCCGTTTTTCTTTTTCCATCTCAAAGGTTTCTTCAAGACTTTAACTTTTTTGTAAAATTAGGTAAGAAATCGTCATCTAGATCATTCTCTTAACTTGTTAATTTGTATTTCCACTGTAGTCAGTTTTCTAATCCATATTTTAATTTATTTCTTCAATTTCCTTATGTTCTCTTTTTTCTGCATCAGGAAAACATTTCACTTCTTTATTCTGAAACAGTTTTTTCCTAAAAAATTATTGCACCTCTTTTTTCCAAGATCTTTTACCCTGTGTGTCTCTTTTACTTCTGCCATATTTTCTTTAACATTTTTTGGGGAAATAGTCTATCGGAAGACGCATATATCATTGCTGACATTGTAACTGCTGTTTTCTGACTCTATTCTTCAAAGATCTCCTTGAGTATTTCAAATATCACAGCATTTTCTATCAGTTTACAAAAACACAAGACAGGCTTTTCATCCCACCCTTTCCCCCACTTTTTCATCCTGGAATCTTTCGTTCCAGTTTCTGAAATCAAAGTCATGAATTTTGGTTAGGGTAAGCAAGACAAATTACTTCCCACTGTTTCTATGGTGTGTGTTTATTTAATTGTTTTCTATTTTTTATAGCAAGAGTTCTAATAATTTAAATTTGTCTAGTATTTTAATTCATTTATAACTTTCTTAATTCCTTAGGTTTTTGACATTCATTTCCAATTCTTTACATTCTTAAGCATTAATTTATCTTTTATTGAAGAGTAAGGTAAATTTTCAGGTAATTTTTCAAACTTGTCATTTTGAAATTCTCTCTGATCCTTAAAATAGATTCCAAAATGGTTTGAAAGTCAGGTTAGTGAACCCAGTATCCTTTAAAAGACTCTGCCACAGTTGAAAGCATGTTGGCTTCCCTTTGTCTCCTAGCACTCAAAACTTGGGGGAAAAAGCTATCCTGCTATCTGTGCATGAGAAGCAGCTGTCCAGAGCATAAGTAAGTGGTCTGTTCTCTCCTTATCAAGAGAGGTTCTGTGGGACCAATGTACTTGTCGGTCCTTCAGTCTTGACAGAGATGTTGTGTCTGCTGATTTGGATATGTCTTGGCACTCTATTCTTCCCTTGGAAATCTATAGTTTTGTAACATCTTAATTTCACTCATAGTCAAATATCTGTGGTTATTTGCAACCATTTTCCCATTGCAAAGGGAAAATGGTCTTATATTTGGTACAATGAGCCTTTGGGATCCAATTTGTGTTTCTTATGATTTCCCATTTTAATTTTTTTTTAAGACAAATAGGCTTTATGAGCTTTTTAAAGTATCTCCAAAGCAAGCAGGACATGAACTAGATTCTTTCTTTCCTTTAAGGTTTAAAGGCAAAATTATCTCTATAATTACTTGCAATGAAACCTTGCTTGTCGACTTCACTGTTCACGCAAGCCTATTTGTCTTTAAGATTCTTTCTTTCCTTTAAGGTTTAAAGGCAAAATTATCTCTATAATTACTTGCAATGAAACCTTGCTTGTCGACTTCACTGTTCACGCAAGCCTTTGGTGAGAATGACTAAGGCCTCCTTTTAATTTAGGTTGTTTTCTTTTGCTTCAACCTAATTTGTTCTTCTGCCATCTGTATCATTTTTGTTTCTTTTTGTTTTTATTGTCATTTTTTTATGTCTTAAATCATTTGTGAAGGGCCCATAGTCAATAGAAGTTGATTGGCATATATATATTTGAGTAACAATACTATTCCTAAATTAAGGGTTGAAAAGATATAAGATTTTCCTAGCATTGCATTCCTGACTGAAAGAACACTGTTATCCTACTGTGGTGCAAAGATAATTCATAGTACTTAATAATATGTGGAAACATTTCCCTGAGAAATTTTACATTTAGTTCAATAATATAAAATTTTGTTCTGCTATTTTTACATTTAGTTTTCAGAAATAGGTTAATAACTCTTGTAGAAAAGATCTAAACTGAGAATTATGCAATAATAAATGGGAACTTAAGTACTCCTAGAAATGTTTTTTGTAGAACAACTTTTCAATTTGTATTTAGGACAGTATTTATATACACCCACTTCTTGCTAACTTACTGAATTCCATTCTAATAACTAGTTTCTTTAGTTAAATACTAGCTAAATGGAGACATTTCTGAGAAAAAAGAAAACCAGTGAATGATTGCTAACTAAAATAGTTGCTAAATGAGGAGCTACTGTATTTAAGGCTTTATGCAGGCAAAAATTTTAGTTGATTTAAATGAGAACAAAAAAACTTCTTAAAAATATAAAGCACATCGTTCTTCCTATG